TGGTTAGTATACCTAGTTAAATCTACATCTCTGCCGGGGCTGCAGTCTTTGATGAAAAATACTGATAATTGCCCATGGTCACCACTCTGATAGGGTTCCAGCTGAATAGAGTACTGAAGAGTGACGGCAGGATCCAGAGCTGTAATGTTCTGTTCATGCTGCAATGACCTGATGCAGGAAACCTTAAAGTACTGCAGGTGGAGTAGAGAGGGATATGATTCTGAGAATATAGGCAGAGGTTTACATCATGGAGAAGCTGTCTGGGAGCTTCAGACCTTCCTGCAGCCACGTGACTGCAGACAGACGTGATTGTGCTATGCAATGGTGTTTATGATGTGATGTACTGAGTGTATTTGGGGTGTGTGGTGCTGTTCGTATTGAAGTGAATGATGCTGAGTGTAATGGGATACTGAAGTGAAATGTACTGAGCATAATGGGGTGCATATATGGTGTGTTCATTGTAACAAGGTACAAATTCTGTGTTCTATGTTTTAATGAGGTGCATAGTTGAAATTCTTGAGTTTGATCTATTAAGTGATGCTGTGTCTATTGGGGTTAATGGTAGGGTGTATTTGAAGTACATGGTGAGATTTCCAGAATGTGTGCTGGTTGTAACATGGTGCATGATGTGAAAATATGTGATGCTGACCTGCTTATACGCAAATTAAAAAAACTCAAATGTGACCCCATGGTGTGTTTTAAATGTTGCTTAACCTATACCCAAGCAGCATAAAATGAATGTGTGACCTCCTTGTGTAAATACAAGTAAACAATAATATACAGTGCCTTGAAAAAGTATTCATACCCCTTGAAATTCTCCACATTTTGTCATGTTACAACCAAAAACAGATCCTCTACCAACCACTCAGTGTCTACCACCCATCTCTGCCAATCCATCCACTGGCTTCCAATTGCCCAGCAAATTCAATTAAAAATACTAGCAACATACAAAGCCATCCACAACTCTGCCCCAAGCTACAGTGCCTTGAAAACGTATTCATACCCCTTGAAATTCTCCACATTTTGTCATGTTACAACCAAAAACATAAATTTATTTTATTGGGATTTGATGTGATAGACCAACACAAAAGTGGCACATAATTGTGAAGTGGAAGGAAAATGTAAAATGGTTTTCAAAATTGTTTACAAATACATATATCAAAAGTGTGGCATGCATTTTTATAAAGCCCCCCTGAGTCAATACTTGGTAGAACCACCTTTTTGCTGCAATTACAGCTGCAAGTCTTTTTGGGGATGTCTCTACCAGCTTTGCACATCTAGAGTGACATGTTTGCTCATTCTTCTTTGCAAAATAGCTCAAGCTCTTTCAGATTGGATGGCCATCGTCTGTGAACAGCAATTTTCAAGTCTTGCCACAGATTCTGAATTAGATTTAGGTCTGGATTTTGACTTGGCACACTCTAACACATAAATATGCTTTGATCTAAAGCAGTGGTTCTCAACCTTTCTAATGCCGCGACCCCTTAATACAGTTCCTCATGTTGTGGTGACCCCCAACCATAAAATTATTTTCGTTGCTACTTCATAACTGTAATTTTGCAGTGGGAGGACTAGCGCCCCATCACTGATGTCAGTGGGATGAATAGTGTCCCATCGTTGGTATCAGTGGGAGGAATAGTGTCCCATCATTGGTGTCAGTGGGAGGAATAGTGCCCCATCATTGGTGTCAGTGGGAGGAATAGTGCCCCATCATTGGTGTCAGTGGGGGGAATAGTGCCCCATCATTGGTATCAGTGGGGGGAATAGTGCCCCATCATTGGTATCAGTGGGAGGAATAGTGCCCCATCATTGGTATGAGTGGGAGGAATAGTACCCCATCATTGGTATCAGTGGGAGGAATAGTGCCCCATCATTAGTATCAGTGGGAGGAATAGTGCCCCATCATTGGTGTCAGTGGAAGGAATAGTGCCCCATCATTGGTATGAGTGGGAGGAATAGTGCCCCATCATTGGTGTCAGTGGGAGGAATAGTGCCCCATCATTGGTGTCAGTGGGAGGAATAGTGCCCCATCATTGGTGTCAGTGGGAGGAATAGTGCCCCATCATTGGTGTCAGTGGGAGGAATAGTGCCCCATCATTAGTATCAGTGGGAGGAATAGTGCCCCATCATTGGTGTCAGTGGAAGGAATAGTGCCCCATCATTGGTATGAGTGGGAGGAATAGTGCCCCATCATTGGTGTCAGTGGAAGGAATAGTGCCCCATCATTGGTATGAGTGGGAGGAATAGTGCCCCATCATTGGTATGAGTGGGAGGAATAGTGCCCCATCATTGGTATGAGTGGGAGGAATAGTGCCCCATCATTGGTATGAGTGGGAGGAATAGTGCCCCATCATTGGTATGAGTGGGAGGAATAGTGCCCCATCATTGGTGTCAGTGGGAGGAATAGTGCCCCATCATTGGTGTCAGTGGGAGGAATAGTGCCCCATCATTGGTGTCAGTGGAAGGAATAGTGCCCCATCATTGGTATGAGTGGGAGGAATAGTGCCCCATCATTGGTATGAGTGGGAGGAATAGTGCCCCATCATTGGTATCAGTGGGAGGAATAGTGCCCCATCATTGGTATGAGTGGGAGGAATAGTGCCCCATCATTGGTGTCAGTGGGAGGAATAGTGCCCCATCATTGGTGTCAGTGGGAGGAATAGTGCCCCATCATTGGTGTCAGTGGGAGGAATAGTGCCCCATCATTGGTGTCAGTGGAAGGAATAGTGCCCCATCATTGGTATGAGTGGGAGGAATAGTGCCCCATCATTGGTATGAGTGGGAGGAATAGTGCCCCATCATTGGTATCAGTGGGAGGGGAATAGTGCCCCATCATTGGTATGAGTGGAGGAATAGTGCCCCATCATTGGTGTCAGTGGGAGGAATAGTGCCCCATCATTGGTGTCAGTGGGAGGAATAGTGCCCCATCATTGGTGTCAGTGGGAGGAATAGTGCCCCATCATTAGTATCAGTGGGAGGAATAGTGCCCCATCGTTGGTGTCAGTGGGGGGAGGAATAGTGCCCCATCGTTGGTGTCAGTGGGGGGAGGAATAGTGCCCCATCGTTGGTGTCAGTGGGGGGGAGGAATAGTGCCCCATCGTTGGTGTCAGTGGGGGGAGGAATAGTGCCCCATCGTTGGTGTCAGTGGGGGGGAGGAATAGTGCCCATCGTTGGTATTAGTGACACAAATGATGGGGCACTATCCCTTCCACTGACACCAATGATACTTACCTTGCTGACTCCTGCTCCAGCCTGGGCTCGTTCTCTCCGTCTCCCATCTACAGCCTGCATACCTGGCTGCAGCAGCAAAATTTGCAGTTACCTGTCAGCTGTCTTCCTTCTCTGGCCTCTCTCTTCACTCGTTCCTGCAGCTCCCTCGATCTTCTTCGATCTCCGCGCGCTGCCGCTCGGCTCCTCCTCTCCAAGCTCCACCTTCTCGCCGGTGATTGGCCGCCTGTGTGCCTCTCCTGAGCTACATTTCCGGTGGCCAATCAGCGGCGAGGAGGCGGTGACAGGGGCAGCATATCATCCCGCCCACACATCGCCGGAGACAGCAGCGGTGTCTCGGTTCCTAAGACCATCGGAAATATGTGTTTTCCGATGGTCTTAGGCGACCCCTGGGAAATGGTCGTTCGACCCCCCAAAGGGGTCGTGACCCCCAGGTTGAGAACCGCTGATCTAAAGCATTCCATTGTAGCTCTGGCTGTATGTTTAGGGTCGTTGCCCTTCTGGAAGGTGAACCTCCACCCCAGTTTCAAGTCTTTTGCAGACTCTAACAGGTTTTCTTTTAAGATTGCCCTGTATTTGGCTCCATCCATCTATCAACTCTGACCAGCTGTCCTGTCCCTGCTGAAGAAAAGCATCCCCACAAGATGATGCTGCCACCACCATGTTTCATGGTGGGGATGGTGTGTTCAGGGTGCTGTGCATTGTTGGTTTTCTGCCACACATAGTTTGCTGTGTCACCCACATGGCTTCTACCAAACTGCAAACGGGACTTCTAATGGCTTTCTTCTTGCCACTCTTCTATAAAGGCCAGATTTGTGGAGTGCACAACTAATTGTTGTCCTGTGGACAGATTCTCCATCCTGAGCTGTGGATCTCTGCAGATCCTCCAGAGTAACATGGGCCTCTTGGCTGCTTCTCTGATTAATGCTCTCCTTGCCTGGCCTGTCAGTTTAGGTGGATGGCCATGTCTTGGTAGGTTTGAAGTTGTGCCATACTCTTTCCATTTTCAGATGATGGATTGAACAGTGCTCCGTGAGATGTTCAAAGCCTGGGATATTTTTTTTTTAAAATCTAACCCTGCTTTAAACGTATCCACAAACTTTATCACTGATCTGTCTGGTGTGTTCCTTGCCCTTCATGATGCTGTTTGTTCACAAATGTTCAGCTGGACTATGTTTACTTATTCGGTGTCTGCTGAAGGCAATTGATTCCACTAGATTTTAGTTCGGGGTATCAGAGTAACAGGGGCTGAATACAAATGCAAAAGATCTTGAAAACCATTTATCATTTTCCTTCTGCTTTGCAATTATATGCCACTTTGTGTTGGTCTATCACATAAAATCCCATTAAAATACATTTACATTTTTGGTTGGAACCTGACAAAATGTGGAAAATTTCAAGGGGTATGAATACTTTTTCAAGGCACTGTAAATAGTGACTCAATAATGTAAAACACCTCATTAGTGTGTGCAGCTCCTAATGAGAAAAAAAAAATATCCAGTGTTAAATCACATAAATGCACAACTCGGAAACCATCCAAAGGTAAGTTCATATCAAGGTCTAGAGTCTCTCTTTAAATTTTCAAGGCGTTCTTATAACAATAACAGATGCCTTCTTCTGTGATCATGGGACCATCATCACCACAATAATACTAGAGATGAGCGAATTATTCAAAAATTCGATTCGGCGAATTCGCGGAATAAAATTCGAGTCGAATATATTCGCTGCGAATTTAACTTATAAAAAGGGTGTTTCTAGGCTTCAGAGAGCCTTTATATTAGTGCAGAACACTGTACCTTTAATTTAAATGCCCTTGGAGTCTGCTGGGGAAGAGAAATAATACTGTCAGTCAGTATGACATGCAGATGAGTGCCGTCGATCTTAGAATCACCGCACACTTCACTCATTTGGGCTATCACGGGGCCAAAACCAGAGTGTGGAGCCACAGTGTGGCGGTGGAGGCAGCAGCAATGGGAGGCCATACAGCACCCTATGAAAAAATGGAACCCACCAGCAGTGTGAGGAGACCTGAAAGTGGCACATGGCAGAGTGCGGCGATGGAGACAGCAGCAATGGGAGGCCGTACAGGGACCCATGACACACTCTGAACCTGGCAGCAGCATAAGGAGGCGGTACAGGGGCCCATGACAGATTACGGGCCTGGCAGCAGCATGAGGAGTCGGTACGGGGGCCCATGGCAGATTACGGGCCTGGCAGCAGCAATGGGAGGCCATACAGCACCCTATGACAAAATGGAACCCACCAGCAGTGTGAGGAGACCTGAAAGTGGCACATGGCAGAGTGTGGCGATGGAGACAGCAGCAATGGGAGGCCGTACAGGGACCCATGACACACTCTGGACCTGGCAGCAGCATGAGGAGGCGGTACAGGGGCCCATGACAGATTACGGGCCTGGCAGCAGCATGAGAAGTCGGTACGGGGGCCCATGGCAGATTACGGGCCTGGCAGCAGCAATGGGAGGCCCATAATCTGCCAGCACCCTATGACAAAATGGAACCCACCAGCAGTGTGAGGAGACCTGAAAGTGGCACATGGCAGAGTGTGGCGATGGAGACAGCAGCAATGGGAGGCCGTACAGGGACCCATGACACACTCTGGACCTGGCAGCAGCATGAGGAGGCGGTACAGGGGCCCATGACAGATTACGGGGCCCTGGCAGCAGCATGAGGAGTCGGTACGGGGGCCCATGGCAGATTACAGGCCTGGCAGCAGCAATGGGAGGCCGTACAGGGACCCATGACACACTCTGGACCTGGCAGCAGCATGAGGAGGCGGTACAGGGGCCCATGACAGATTACGGGCCTGGCAGCAGCATGAGGAGTCGGTACGGGGGCCCATGGCAGATTACGGGCCTGGCAGCAGCAATGGGAGGCCCGTAATCTGCCAGCACCCTATGACAAAATGGAACCCACCAGCAGTGTGAGGAGACCTGAAAGTGGCACATGGCAGAGTGTGGCGATGGAGACAGCAACAACGGGAGGCCGTACAGGGACCCATGACACACTCTGGACCTGGCAGCAGCATGAGGAGGCGGTACAGGGGCCCATGACAGATTACGGGCCTGGCAGCAGCATGAGGAGTCAGTACGGGGGCCCATGGCAGATTACGGGCCTGGCAGCAGCAATGGGAGGCCCGTAATCTGCCAGCACCCTATGACAAAATGGAACCCACCAGCAGTGTGAGGAGACCTGAAAGTGGCACATGGCAGAGTGTGGCGATGGAGACAGCAGCAATGGGAGGCCGTACAGGGACCCATGACACACTCTGGACCTGGCAGCAGCAAGAGGAGGCGGTACAGGGGCCCATGGCAGAGTGGCGAAGCGTAAGCAGCTTAAATTGAAGGCCATACAGAGGCCTATGTTAAAAATAATAACATGTTTGGGGCATGATTCATGGCGGATTTAGTCAGTTGTGTCAGGAACTGGTGGTTTGAAATCCAGACTAATCCACGCCTGATTCATTTTCACAAACGTGTGTCTCTCCACACTTTGGGTGGACAGTCGTGTCCTCCGCGGAGTTACAATACCTCCTGCCGCACTAAACACGCGCTCCGATGCCACGCTACTGGCCGGGCATGACAGCCTTTCAAGGGCAAATTCAGCTAGTTGGGGCCAAAGGTCAAGTTGCGTTGCCCAGTAGTCAAGGGGATTGTCTACCTCGGTTGGCAGGGTGCTGTCCAAGTAGGCCCAAGCCTGTTGTTTGAGGTCCTGCTCCAGGTCCACCTGATGCTGCTGCTGCTGCGGCTGGTTAGTAGTTTCCTCACTGCGCTGGTGAAGAAAGCTACTCATCATCGACTGCAGACTGAGGCAGCCGCTGCTGGTGGAGCTGCCACTGCTCCTACCACCCCACCCCTCCCCTGCTGCCATGGCAGCGGAACGCGAGCGCACAGGGCCCACAGTGTCTGAGGATGGACGTTGGCGCAGAAAGGCAGAGACCACTGACTACATAGGTGGTTTTTATAGTAAGTTATTTTGGCCTCCCTCTCAGCAGGTGTGAAAAAGGCCACCATTTTTGAATGGTAGCGAGGGTCCAACAAGGTGGACAGCCAAAAGTCATCCCTGTCTGATGGTTATTATTCGGCTGTCGCTACGCAAGCAAGCGAGCATGCTATGGGCCATTTGTGCCAAGGAATGCGAGGGACTCCCTGCCTCCATCTCCACAGCATACTGCCACGGTGCGTCTGGGTCCTCTGTCTCCTCCTCCTCCTCTACCAGATGCTCCTGCTCCTCCACTCCTGTCCGCTGAGTGGAAAAAAACCACCCATTTCACTCAATAATTCCTGAGCACCGATGTCCTCCTCTACCTCCTCCTCTTCTTCCTGTCCTGCCCCCACAGGGGTCATGTGGCGTTGAGATCTGTGCGCCACGTCTACCGCACCCTGACCAGCCATTGTTGGCTGACTCCACCCTGACCACCCTGACTCCACCGCGGCTCGGCACAAGCCATCATTTCTCGGAAAGGTGCTGAGTCCACCACTTGGAAAGGGAGGGACTGCAGCACCAGCAACTTGGACAGGAGGACGTTCAGCTTCTGCACCGTCGGGTGCGTGCTCGCAAACTGTTGTCTCTTGGAAACGGATTCCAAGAAAGACTGCTGACGGAATCCGTGAAGAGGAGTAGCAGGAGAAGGAGCATCTGAACGAGCGGAAGATGCCAACGAGCGACAACTCCCCTCAGCAGAGGTGTTGGAGCCTTGACTGGCTGATAGAGGGCGATTGACGTCTGGTGACGGAGCAAGTAACGGAGCGGGTGATGGAGCGGGGGCTGGGGCAGGCAGAACCGCCGTATCTTTATCACGGTTTTCCCAGGCCACCGAATGGCGACGCTGCATATGCTGACGCAACGCTGTAGTCCCAACATGGGCCCCCTGGCCACGCTTGACTTTCTGGCCACATAGTCGACATACGGCTACGTTTACTCCTTGGGCGGCTTGACGAAAAATTGCCACACCGCCGAGTAGGAAACTTTGCCCCCGCTACTCCTCACTGGCTGACTGCTACTTCCTCCGTGCACACCGGCACCACTACTGGCCGTGGTGGTAGGCTGCAGTGGAGCTGGTGCTCTACTCCGTGGCCGTTTGCCTCCACTGACACTGCTGCGACCCTGCTGCCTCCTGGGCAACCCACCGACTGTTTTGCTCGCTGCCAAGCTGGCACCCTCTTCTTGATGATGCGGAAGCAATAGCCTGATGACGACGAGGCTGCCAAGTGCGATCAGCCTCATCATCATCAATTAGGGTCTCCGCCTCACTACTAGCCCCCTCGGCTGCGTGTGGGTCAGGAGACAGACCTGTCTCTAGACCGGCTACCGAGCCACTCTCCTCGCCAGTACTTCTTCACCTGGCTGCTGAAGAGGCGGATGTCTCCCCCCGTTCCTGACCGCCCTCTGTTAGCTCTTCTTCACTGTACAGTGGGGCTGAGCCCACAGCATGCGATACTTCGCTTGGTGAGGGAACACCAAAGGACAGGGGCAGGTAGAGGACACGTGATTTCAGTGGGCTTGCTCCCGGGCCATGCCAACTAACGGTTGTGTCTGACGTACCCACCGACCGTTGGCTGTAGGTGTCAGAGGTGACCTGGGAAGAGGAAGACGACCGAGCCAACCAATCGATGACGGCAGGGGTTGTCGGTGGAAACACGACCGCTGGATGACACCGGGAGCACTGGCCTCTGGCTGCGACTAGTGCTGCCTCGACCCCTTCCTCTGCTGCCACGTCTGCTCGCTCCTGAAACATTGCCTCCTCTGCCACTCCTCTGCGTGTTGTCTGACATACTCTTTAATTCAACGATTCTGTGTCCCTGAGTAACGATTCTGTGTCCCTGAGTAACGATTCTGTGTCCCTGAGTAACGATTCTGTGTCCCTCAGTAACGATTCTGTGTCCCTCAGTAACGATTCTGTGTCCCTGAGTAACGATTCTGTGTCCCTGAGTAACGATTCTGTGTCCCTCAGTAACGATTCTGTGTCCCTGAGTAACGATTCTGTGTCCCTGAGTAACGATTCTGTGTCCCTGAGTAACGATTCTGTGTCCCTGAGTAACAATTCTGTGTCCCTGAGTAACAATTCTGTGTCCCTGAGTAACAATTCTGTGTCTGTCCCTGAGTAACAATTCTGTGTCTGTCCCTGAGTAACAATTCTGTGTCTGTCCCTGAGTAACAATTCTGTGTCCCTGAGTAACAATTCTGTGTCCCTGAGTAAACAATTCTGTGTCTGTCCCTGAGTAAAATTCTGTGTCCCTGAGTAACAATTCTGTGTCCCTCAGTAACGATTCTGTGTCCCTCAGTAACGATTCTGTGTCCCCGAGTAACAATTCTGTGTCCCTGAGTAACAATTCTGTGTCTGTCCCTGAGTAACAATTCTGTGTCCCTGAGTAACAATTCTGTGTCCCTGAGTAACGATTCTGTGTCCCTAAGTAACGATTCTGTGTCCCTAAGTAACGATTCTGTGGCCCTAAAGTCTCTCTGGCCCTAACTCTGTCCCTAATACAGACAGGTCTGTCTCTCTTGAATGACCGGAGGCTAATGGAGAATTGTAAGATGGCCGCAATTTATAGCTCCACCATTACACAGTGCTGGCTGGCCTGCTGCTGATTGGCTAATGCGATCACATGTCATGAATGAATGCATTATGGGTCAGCGCGCCTTGTCTGCGCGCCTTCCCAGAGATCCCCGCTCCGTCGCCACACATGTCGCCGCCATTTTTGGGAAAATTCGATTCGTGCATCCGAAGTTTGCTAATTTTCGGCCATGTTCGATTCGCTCATCTCTAAATAATACCATGTTCTGCTACTAAATGTAAATCACTCGTGCCACCTCTGTGCTCACAGAACTCTCTCACCTCCATACAGATGTAACCAGGCCTGTAGACATTAATCCATCAGGGTTTCTCCACTGGATAAATCCACCAATCCACTAGAAAATTTCCTAATGTATTCCCAGTGCTCCAGTAATATACAGGGTAAGGTACCTTTAAGACTCTTGTATATTCACGCAGCCATATTTGTCTTGCCCATGTAAGAAAGAACAGAAGGCCTCAAATGGTGTAGTAAATAAATAACTTCTTTATTAAAAATGAATTGCACTTACACTTTAAAACTTTAAATCACGTAAACATACAGGAGAACAGGGATGCGCTTCCTCATATGTCATTGCTGGTCTGCGTCTGCCATATACGTTCCAATCCTGATTTCCCTGATGGAGTCACGTGACCGTGACGTGATGCGTATGACATGCTGTCTAGTTCCCAGCCAGACCATCTCTACAACTTCTGGTCTGAAGGATAGGAATAGTTTAATATTTTACACTGATGGTTATCATACTTCTGAATTTATGAGGTATATGATACGGTTTACTAATGCATACGCTTTGTAAACAAACCTGC